CGCCCCTGCTCAGTGATTACATTGGAGCCTTTGTCTTCCCAGGACAGAGGCTGCCCCAAGCAGTAAACAATTTACGCAAGTCCTCCTTCTCCCACTGGGGATGGGCTGCCAAAAGCTCAGGGCCAGGTGTCAACTCCACAGTCGGGCTTATCAGTCAGTGCTTGGAATAAAAGACGCTTCACTCCTCCTGAACTCACACCTGAGGGGGCGTTAGCACCAGAACGGAGTCCTTCATGCTTTCAGGCTGTGTCCTGTCACGTCTGGAGGAGTTACAATAGATTCATGTCAAGGGCTAGTTGATAGTGCCATCCTGGTCTGCCACCAGCAAGTCAGGGTCAGTGATGCCTGAGTGGTCTCCAGCCAGCTAGAGGTGATATGTGCCCCTAACGAACCCCCAACTATCCACTGAGATACTGTCTGCTGTTTATAGCTTTCACTTGGGAGGGCAAGTGAAGGGGAGAATGAATTTCTGGGGAGTTAAATTTATAAGGAAGAAGACACAGTTGACCTTGCAAATCCAGAGACACCATTTCTTCCTCCACTGTACTGCACTTTGCCCCCCAAAATATCAAATGCCCAGTGAAAAGCTCAAGTTGCTCATCAGTCTCTGGGAATGTAGAACTGGATTGCTGAAAAGGAACAAAAGTTCATAGTTCAAGGCCAAAGGGCTACATGAGTGAGAGTAACCAGTCTTCTGAAGACGTCCATCTTTTTCTCCATGTTTTTGGCTTTTGCAGCAAAGAGCTGAAAGCAAGGTGGGGTAGCAGCAGCAAGTTCTTAAAGTCTGGTTGTGGCCGTCGCTACTGGTCCACACAACAGTAAATAAATACAAAATGAAGACATCAGCATGGAGTGCAAGGAATATTCATCTAGGTACGAGTCAGAGCAGCCTGGACCAAGGCTCCAGCTCCAGAGTGCCTTCTCCAAGTCATTAGCAAATCACTATCCTTGCTGAACCTGAACTTCCTCAAATGTAAGTGGGGTGGGGGCAGGGGTGGGATAAAAAGGCCAACTCAATGAACTTCTAGTACTCAAACTCTCTAATCCTCTCCTGCAAGTCCAGCAACCAAATCAGTCTCAGAGCAGCTTTGATGGCAGCACTAATCAAAGGTGGAAATCTCAGTAGGAAATGGGAATGTCAGCCACTGGTCAGTTCTATTGGTCCCAAGATGGCATTCTGTTTGTTTAATAAGACTTCTGATTGAGACTAACAGAAGCTATTAAAGATGCTTTCTAATGCTCAAAGGAATCCTGGATTGGTAGGGAGGAAACTGGGATTTACTGATGGCCACCTAATGTGCAAATTGACGGTTTTTATCTGCTAATACAACTGATGCCTCAAAATCACTGCAGTGGATTGAACTGTGGCCATCAAGAAGATATGTCCATGTCCTAACCCCCAGAAACTATGAATGGGACCTTATTTGGGAAAAGGGTCTTTGCAAAAGTAATTATGTTTAAAATATCAAAAGTAGGATGGGCCCTAAATACAATGACAAGTGTCCTCACAAGACAAAGACAGAGGAAGATTTGAGACATACAAAATGGCCATGCAAAGACAAAGGCAGAGATTGGAGTGATGTGCCTATAAGCCAAAGAACACCAAGGATTGCTGACAGCCAACAGAAGCCGGAAAACAGGCCTAGAACCTGCCAACACCCTGACTTTGAACTTTTAGGCTGCAGAACTGTGAGAGAATACATTTCTGTTGTTTTAAGCCGACTCATTTGTGGAAATTTGTTAGAGCAGACCTAGGAAACCAATTCGCCCATTACAGAAATGAGGTAAGTATCCTCATTTTGATTTTGCTGATGATAAAACAGAGCCCTGGATAAGCCAAATCACTTGTCCCAATGCACTTAGTGTTCCAGGTATGGTCACTGACAAACCTGCTAGTCCTTCCACAGCACCAGGCTGCTTTTAGTTCTAACAATCATGAGTCCCAGTTCCCTCATTTTCTGGCACAAGGAAAGTACAGAGCTCTATATCTCATCCCAGGTTGTAAGGAACTTTTTGGTGGCAGGATCCTAGTCAGCAATCCAGAGCTTCAGCACCACTTTCTGATGAACTATGGTGAAGACTTACCACCTCCCGGAGTCAGCTATTTTAGGGGAGCCTGTTTCATTACTGCTACAATTACCCAAATGTGGAGCGTCACACTAATTTTCCCTTGCAGTAAATAGCTGAAAAGTAATGGTGTCAATTTTAATGAGGATCAAGCAAGGCTCCTAAAAGGGCTCCCATAAATGAAAGCATTTCCCTCATACACAACAATGGCTTGCTGTTTAATTCCAGAACACAAGAATGTCACTTAAATTACACGGCTTTTACATTAAAGTGCTTATGGGAATGCCTTTCCAAGGAAGAATTTCAATAAAAAGATCTCACCCATTTTGATGCTTCATAATATGTGAACCACAAATCTATGTATCATAGCAACAAAAATAAAACCTCGAAGAATGTGAATAAGAACAGGACTTCACTTTCACTGGGAAAGAGTTTCTATTTTCAGTGAAACAGAGAGGTAGCTGAAAAGCCGTTATCACACAGCAGTATATTCCATTTGGGCCTGTGGGCCACCAGAAATTCGTTGCTTCAGTCTGAATCCTTTTTATTCCTACTTGCTGAGATGTTCAGGATGACTGCCAACCCTGTAAGTCTACATGAGACTGTTTAGCTGACTCAATTCTTATTTTATTAGTGCTTCTCAAAGCAATTACTAGGGTTTTGAGCAGAGATGAGAGTATTTCACACCTCCATCTTTACTAAAAATGTCTTATACTCCACTGACTTTTGGCTTCTATTTATAAAGAAGGTTCAAGGCTTGGAAAATTATTGGAGTTGAGCTTTAATGGATATTCCCAACCAGCATTGTGTCATTATTGGCCCGAGTTTAGCTGGGCAATCTCCCAAATTTGTGACATAATCAGGCCTCTCTCTGCATTACTCCATACACTCCACGCTCCCTCTACATTACACCACTGAATCATACACTCTTTTCAACAAGACTGATTGCCAGGGGATTAACATTAGACAGCACAATTCCATTATTCAGCAGCCCAATTCAAATCCCAACTCTAAACTCTAAGAGAGATTTCAGGGCTTCACAGGGATGAGCTGCCAGAAAGCTCAAAGGGGAGGTGGGGTGAGGGGCTTGTGAATGTTTTACATAACAACTCAACCTAAAACCTGCTGTAAGCAAGAGCCCAGGCTGGAGAGGCCGCAATATGACTCGGTGATTCCTGGAACAGCCCCAACCAATCTTAATGAACGATTTGCAGACCTGATCCCAAAAGACTGCTATAGCACAATGATTTTTTTCCCATAATAAATGATTTAATTTAAAAATTAGGTATTTAGAATTATTAGCCCCAAATCTAACTTTCATTCTCTAAATAGAAACACTTTCGTGTCAAATTCAGAATACATGAGGCCCCAGGTAAATCCCAAGTCATGTGCTATTTGATCAATGGATTCATAGTGTATCAATGCCAAAATAAATGTTAATCATTTTGTTCTCATATTTAAGTTTATTTCTCTTGTGTTTGTTTTGTAAAATGTCTGAACATAGTAATTCTCACCAAGAAACATACCACTATGTATACAAAAAGAGAGCTCCAGAACTCACTCTTTTAAGAATATCCATGGCATTCGCATTACACAAAGACCTATTAAATTTCTCATTAACTAAAATGTTCAAATAGACAATTTTTTCACTGACTGCTTATATGCAAATGAAAGTAAAGACTATATCATGCTTTCTAAGGCAGAGTGTCTTGTAGATTTAATTTCATTTAGCTTGATTAAAATGAAAATTAAAATGATTTTCTGTTTAATTTTCAGTTAACCTAAAATTTCAATTAACCAAATCTTTGCAATTTCGTTGATTAAACTTTTGGAAAGTTTTTTAAGGGCTCCTTGGGCAATTCAAATATTTGTGGAGTCGGTCACTCCAAAGAGTTTATATTTTATTGCAGGAAAAGAAATACCTACATGTGAGAGAATACCTGGGCACATGCAATGGCAATGATGTAGGAGATACTTGTATAGAGGTGTAGCACGCGCTTTAAGAGTTACCAACAGTCACATGGGTAAAATGGATCCGGCGGAGCTTTCAGCTGAATCTTTAGCAGAAGTCAGCAACTTGAATGTAGGAAGAGCAAACCCAAATGCAAGGGCTCCAGGCAGCAGGCTGAGAGTCATGGCATGTGACAGGGCAGAGAAAAGATGGCTCCTACATGGAAGGAATTTTAACCCACCATCCCTGCAATAATGAGACATACCTTGGTGTAGCTCCCCAAGTCAGCAATCCTCCAACAAGACAGAGGAACACCCATTCTTCATCAGCCTCATCAACACAGGCAAAACTTGGGGAGAAATTTGAGTATCCAATACAACAGACTACATGGTCTTAAGACGTTTAACTAAAATGACCTACTTATATCTGTGAACTCTGACCAAAAAAAATGTATTTATAAATTCATATATATGATTCCCTCTTCACAGAAGAAATAGCTCCCAGGCACAGACATTGAACTGGTGCTGTCTAATGACTTTCTTCTGATAGTCACCACCTTTCCGCCAGCTATGGGCTCAGTCCCACACCTCTCTATGCCTCAGCCAGCATTATAGCATACACTTGTTCTTCGTTGCCCAAAGTGCTCCCACAGTACATCTCTAAGCTTTTCCAGGCACATGCTGACATTTTTCAGAGTAATATCAGCTTCCAGAATGTCAGACACTTCACACCACATTCACCTCACACAAGATGACACTTAGGAACCACGAGGATCATGCAAAACCAATAAAGCCTGGCTAACTGAAAAATAGAGTATTGTTGAATGATAAAAGAATCCTTTACAGATGATAGTTTGTGTGAAGAATAAAAATGAACCACTTCTCCTGAAATTTTTTGGAGAAACAAGACTCAGGTCTACACTTTCAAGTGAGTCAAGTGAGAATAGGCTGGCGTGTAGCTGCCACACAAGAAGAAAACTCACCCACGACATCCAGGTGGTATGTGTGATTGATGGACCCATATTCATTTTCTACCACACAGGTATAATTTCCTTTGTCAGATGGGACCACGCTTTCCATAATGAGGCTCCAGTGTTGGTTTCGTACCTGAAAAGATCAAAGTAAAGGTGGTTATTTAGCAGTCTTAGCAGAGAATAGCAAGAACTGTCTTTTATTGATTTAAAAAGAAGTTGGAGGAGGCAAGGGAGGTATAGATGAATGTCTTTCTTGCGCCTTTGAATTCACCACAACTCAAAATTTCCTCTTCAATATACTCGGAATGGTGACAAATGAAAACATTCATCATAATGATGAATGTCTGAGAAGTGGATACTGACATATTCACATGCACAGGGTATTTGGGGGTGTGCAGAGTGGGTCTCACTGTCACGAATCTAAGTGTTCCTCCAGGAGAGACCAAGTGGTTAGGGTGTCCAAAGACCAGCCCACACAGTATCATTGCCTCTGGGCAGGTGAGCGACCAGCTCGCCCATCCACTGGGACACCCTCAGTTCCCACAGTACCGTCTAGAACCAACACTAGTGAGCACTGACTGTACGCCAGGTACTGCTCTGTGTCCTCCTTCCTGCCTTAGCTAATTTCAATCTCCCAAGGAGCTCCTGAGGTAGGTGCTATTATTGTTCCTGGTGACTTCTGGTTTTAAAACCCTTCATTTCTATCACCATGACCCTCGGATATTGTCTGGAAGTCTCAAAAAGTTTCAGTTGGGAACACAAGTTTGCCCCTCCCGTCTCTGACGACGGCTGAATAGATGTTACATATTCCTGAGAGATAGACTCAGAATTCCAAATATAGGAGCAACGAATCCTTACGAAACTCAAGTTATATATCCATATGTTCACAAACTCCTTGAGATTTTTGAAAATAAATTATTGCGACTCCTACTCATGGTTCTGTCAATACACAAACAGATCCCATTCTAATGTTCTCACCTTGCCGGGCCCGGTGGCTCAGCCTGTAATCCCACCGCTTTGGGAGGCTGAGGTGAGTGGATTGCCTGAGCCCGCGGGTTCGAGACCCGCCTGGGCAACTTGGTGAGACCTCATCTCTACAATAAATAAAAAAACTAGCCGGGCATGGTAGCACATGCCTGTAGTTCCAGCTACTTGGAAGGCTGAAGTGGAAGGATCACC